AAATGGTGGTGGGTTAATTGGCAAGTCACATGCAGAAGAATGAAACTGGATCCTCATCTATCACATTATATAAAAATCAACTCAAGGTGGATCAAAGACTTAAATCTACGACCTGAAACCATAAAAATTATAGAAAATAACATCAAAAAAGCCCTTCCAGACATTGGCTTAGGCAAGGATTTTAGGACCACAAACCCAAAAGCAAATGCAATAAAAACAGAGATAAATTGCTGGGACTTAATTAAAATAAAAAGTAATAATCAGCAGAATAAACAGACAACCCACAGAACAGGAGAAACTCTTCACAAGCTATGCATCTGACAAAGGACTAATTCTGGAATCTACAAGGAACTCAAATTAGCAAGAAAAGAACAAATAATCCAATCCAAAAATGGGCTAAAGACATGAATAGACAATTCTCAATTCTCAAATATATGAACAGCCAACAAGCATATGCAAAAATGCTCATCACCCCTAATTAGCAGGGAGACGCAAATCAAAAATACAATGCGACACCACCTTACTCCTGCGTAAGTGGCCATAATCAAATAATTAAATAAAAAATAAATGTTGGTGTGGATGTGGTGAAAAGGGAACACTTGCATACTGCTGGTGGGAATGTAAACTAATATAAACCACTATCAAAAACAGTGTGATGACTCCTTAAAGAACTAAAAGGAGGGCCAGTTGAGGTGGTATACACCTGTAATCCCAGCACTTTGAAAGGCAGAGGCAAGTGGATCATGAGATCAGGAGTTCAAGACCAGCCTGGACAACATGGTGAAACCCCATCTCTACTAAAAACACAAAAAATTAGCTGGGTGTGGTGGCATGCATCGGTATTCGCAGCTACTCGGGAGGCTGAGGCAGAAGATTCCCTTGAACCCGGAAGGCAGAGGTTGCAGTGAGTCAATATCTTGCCACTGCACTTCAGCCTAGGCAACAAAGCAAGACTCCACCTCAAAAACAAAAGCAAAACAAAACAAAACTAAACTAAAATTAGAACTACCATTTGATCCAGGAATCCCACCACTGGGTAGCTACCCAGAGGAAAAGAAGTCAGTTTGTATACAAATTTCACAGGCATGTTTATAGCAGCAGAATTCACAATTACAAAAATATGAAATCAGCCCAAATACTCATCAATTAACAAGTGGATTAAAAAAGTGTGGTACAAATGTACTATGAAATACCAACTAGCATTAAAAAGGAATAAAATAATGGCATTCAGAGCAACCTGGATGAAGCTGGAGACCATTATTCTAAGCGAAGTAACTCAGGAGTGGAAAACTAATCATCGTATAGTCCCACTCATAAGTGGGAGCTAAGCTATGAGGATGCAAAGGGATAAGAATTATACAGTAGGCCAGGCACGGTGGCTCAAGCCTGTAATCCCAGCACTTTGGGAGGCCAAAGCGGGTGGATCACGAGGTTAAGAGATCAAGACCATCCTGGTCAACATGGTGAAACCCCGTCTCTACTAAAAATACAAAAAAAAAGTAGCTGGGCATGGTGGCGCGTGCCTGTAATCCCAGCTACTCAGGAGGCTGAGGCAGGAGAATTGCCTGAACCCAGGAGGCGGAGGTTGTGGTGAGCCGAGATCGCACCATTGCACTCCAGCCTGGGTAACAAGAGCGAAACTCCGTCTCAAAAAAAAAAAAAAAGAATTATACAGTGGACTTTGCGGACTTGGGGGAATGGGTGGGAGGTGAGTGACGGAGGAAAGAGTACACACTGGGGGCAGTGTACACTGCTTGGGTAATGGGTGCACTAAAGCCTCAGAAATCACCCACTAAAGAACTTATACCTGTAACCAAATATTCACTTTTCCCAAAAAACTTCCTCAATAATTTTAAATAAACAAAAGTGAAAAGAGAGAAATGACATTAGTGTTGAGAGACAGACATCTATTCATGGATGTACAAAGGCTGAAAATTATAGGAAATCCACATCAAATAAACATTCCATGTACTGAAACAAAACCTAACGACTCCACTTTCTTAAGAGCAAAATTCTAAGAAGTGACATTAATGTCCATCCTAGAAGAATGAAATACGCATCACCTTTACTGATATGAGTAAATTATTTATTTTTCCTTGAAAGATTTTCCAATCAGTGTTCATCTTCACACTGATCAAAGAGAGCACCCTTCTGTCAATGGGAATTGGTAGTTTTCAGGACCTGGCAGAAATTCTTTTACTTTTTTTTTTTTTTTTTGATATGGAGTCTCAATTTGTTGCCCAGTCTGGAGTTCAGTGGAGTGATATAGGCTCACTATAACCTCCTCCTCTTGGGTTCAAGTGATTCTCCTGCCTCAGCCTCCCTAGTAGCTGAAACTACAGGCACGTGCCACCATATCCGGCTAATTGTTTGTATTTTTAGTGGAGATGAGGTTTCACTGCATAAGACAAGATGGTTTCGATCTCCTGACCTCGTGATCCCTGCGTCTCAGCCTCCCAAACTGCTGGGATTACAGGTGTGAGCCACCAGTCCGGCCTCTACCCTCTACCTTTAAAACTCAGGCACAAAAGTAGAGGTAGCTGCTAGGCTCCTCTGCCCACAGCCAAGTGACTGACACCATCAGTGGGAAGGATGAAGGCTTGAGCTTTCCTGGTCCCCCAGATCATCTGGGTGCTGCTCTACCCCATGCAGCTGCGCCCCGTGACACCCCCGAGTCCTCGAGGAGCCTGCCTAGCCCGTGCGGTACCCTATGGCCAGCGGGTATCCAGCGCGTGATGCTTTGTGCGCTTTCTGGCGTCCTGAGGCCAACGGTCACGGTCACCAAGCTCTGCACACTTGGCACCGGCCACAGACCGGAAACTTGTGGAAGCCAAATTTCTAAGGAAAGGTCCCGACCGCTACACCACTGTCATGGGCAGCTATCTGAGCTGGTTCCTGGGCTGGCCCTGGGCCAGGCTGCCACCCCGAGACCAGAAGCCCCGGACCCTGAGCTCCGGAACCGTCCAACGTTCCCAGGTCCAGAACCCCTGCAAAGTCGTCCATGTCCACAGGCCACGCTGGGTCAGCACCCGGCCCCTCCCCAAGGCTCCTCCAGGCTGGGACCATGCCGGCATCCCAAGGTGCTTTCCCAATAGGCCACCGCTCCTGAGCTTCAGCGGACCGGACCCTTCCGACGCTCGTCTGGCCTACAAGAAGCGGTGGTTTTGGCATGCCCGGCACCCGCGGCCCGTCCGCAGCCTGGTGACCGTGAAAATCGCCCCACCGGAGCACGGAATGGAGCGTCGACAAGCCTCGCCTGCCCCGGAACTCCCAGATCCCTGTGCCAGGGAGACCGTGCTCAAGGCCCTCAGCCAGTGCAGCAAGGGAAAAAGGAAATTCACCGAGCCACTCTGGTTTGAGGCCAAGGACACCAAGGGGAGGAAGCAGAACCCACCCAGGCCTTCTGCCTTCAAGCCCGTCAGGAGACATGGAGAGGTCCCCGCCTTTGTGCCCAGGCCTGGGCCGCTGAGAAGCCTCCGCTCTCCCGCAGCAGTGTGCTCCCGCAGCCCGTCCTACCGCAGGAAGTACGCCGTCCAGAGCCCAGTCGCAGCGGCCACCGCGGGAGCTCTAGCAGCAGGTGCAGTAATGTCTCCGTGTCTTGGGCCTTCCTACCCCACAAGGAGCTGCCCTGGGGTGGGGACCATGCACCTCTGAGCACACCCAGACTGCAGCCCGGCTCAGAGTCAGGGGCCCTTCTCTTGAGCCTCCAGACTCCTTCACCCTACTGACCCCTGTTTCACCCCACAGGAGCCACTGAGCCCACCAGGGCACTGCCCACCGCTTCAGCTGACCACTCTGCCAGCCCCAGCCCCGCCTCTCCTTAGCCTGCGGAGCCCCCACTATAGAGACCTTGTTGCTCTCAAAACCCTTCCCTTTCCCCTATTCACCCACTTCTGCCTTCTTCCTGGAACAGGAGGCAGCCGTATAGTCCATTTTCACAGTTTGTATAGTAAATCTTTGTTCTTCTTTTAAATAATAGTGTCTTTATTATTTAAAAAAATAATAGAAATCAGTTGCATATCCTTAAGTAAGAAAAGAAGGAAAAATTTATGCCACACCTCACACTATATACAAAAATTAACTCAAACCTACAAATGCATGTCTTTAAGAAGAAAAGGGAACAATTTTTGTGACTTTGGTTTATGCAAAAATATATATGGAGAGAGCAAGAGAGAGAGAAAGAGATGGAGTCTTGCACTGTCACCCAGACTGCAGTGCAGTGGCGGGATCTCAGCTCACCACAACCTCCACCTCCTGGGTTCAAGCAATTCTGTCGCTTCAGCCGCCCGAGTAGCTGAGATTACAGATGTCTGCCACCACACCTGGCTAGTTTTCTGTGTTTTTAGTAAAGCCAGGGCTTCACATTGTTGGCCAGGCTGGTCTCAAACTCCTGACCTCAGAATCCACCTGCCTCAGCCTCCAAAAGTGCTGGGATTACAGGCGTGAGCCACCACGCCCGGCTCTTACCTGTCTTTCTAAACACACTTCTCCCCACCTCTCTATGTGGTAACTCCATTATTCTAGGTACTCATGCCAAAAACCCTGGAATCCTCTTCCAAGGCTTTTTCTCTTGCAGCCCATGACTAGTGAGTTGGGAACTTCTCTTGGCTCTACCTTCTCTCTGTCTCATCATCAGACAGTCCAGGGCCCTAAACGGTTATGACATTGACCCCTTAGGACCCATATCCTCCAAAATATTTACTCTCTGGCCCTTGACAGAAAACAACTTCTGATCCTTCTTTTGTAGGCAATATTAGAGAAGGAAGAAACTATGAGAAGCTTGATGGTAGTAACAAGGGCCATCAGTTTAAAGGTGACATGAAGGATGACAGCTGCACACAGATGAGTTTCACAGTCTGTATCTACAGACAGATGGAAGAATAGAAAAAAGCTCTCCTTAAAGGGTGAAAGGCATTCATATTTTAAACAATTATCACCATCTTACATGTTGACTATCTAAATGTACAGCAGGAAAAGGCAGAAGTTGTTGAATCAGTTACCTGAAGGATCGGAATTATAAAGACTGGCGGCTGTTGTTATGGGTCCTGGTGGGTGGATGGCGCTTGCTGAAGACCTCTGACTTGCAATCAGAATCCTGCTCTTTGCAGATGGTAAACGGGACATTGCACCCAATCCTAGCTGGGGCTTAAGGAGCATGGCTGACCGATAGAAAGTCGGAGGGACTTCATAGTGAGCATAGGTTGGGGAGCAAAACTCTTCTTTTCCAGGGTGTTCTGTAACCTGCGATAAATGAACAAAAACTCAGTCAGAGACCTTCACATCATAATGTGAGTTCTAAACAGGACCAGGAGACCAAGGCTGAACCAGTGACTACTCTGGTCCCACTGAGCGGCTTGATCGCAGGTCCCCTACCTTCCCTGGGCCACAGTGTCTTTATCTCCTGATTGACAACACACCTGGATGATCTCTCAGGTCTCTTCCAGTTCTACTATCCTATGAATCTACAGTTCACTGGGGTTAAAGAGAACTCACTGGATAAGATTTTTTTAAATTGCATTGTTATAAAATCACTGGAATTGGCATGAGTAGCCAAGCTATAAATGCCGTTAAAGCAAAGACAGCATTTAGCAAACGTTCACAAAATTACAAAAGTTTTATTATACCTTTGGGGGAAAAAAGCCATAATTTGTATGATAACCTAGTCTTAGACTGACTAAATAAACTGTGTCAATTTATATTAGGTCTTTACTGGGCTACTTAGGAAGTAAAAATTACAGTGTTAGTAAGGGAGGAAACGTTATTCAGAAAAATAGAGAAGTTAATGAAAAATGTGTTTTCAGACCTGTACTGTGCTTTTACATTGTCTGCCCTAGTGAGGCGATGCTCCCAGGAAGTTTTGAGCAAGTTTCATCAGAATGGAAGTTCTAAGGCACAATCTTGTCAACTGCTGACTTCATAGCACCAAAAACAATGTCGAGCACATAGCTAAAGTCAATACATATTATTAAACAATCATGTTTCCATTCTTTCCTAAGTTTAATAATAACGTAACATTACTGTACTTTCTCCTGTAGCTGGCAGTTTGGTCTAGATTACAACCTGTGAGTAGTACCTCTTATAGATGCAATTTTGTACTCACTGAGTCTGTTCATATTATCAGTGTTTTTTCATGTTAAACATGAAAATAAGAGAGAGAATTAAATAATCTATTTCCTTTAAGTTACAATAAAAAAAATAGTGCTAAGGGCTATGTATGAAAAGATATATCTGTTAATTAACTCTGTTCTAAATCACAGCACATTTTATGGAATCATAAGCATTTAACAATATTCTCTAACAGGGGCTATAAAAGCTTTGATCCAAGCTGTTGAAGAGATAAACCCTTAAACTGATGCTCATTTAATGTTGAACTAAATACAAAGTTCTCCTTCAAACTGACATTATAGAAACAAAAGATTAAGCCTTTAAAGTTTTATCATAATCACACTGTAAAATATGCATGATTGTGATCATAGATAGATTGTACTCGGCTACAGCAAATTGTATTCCCATGAAAGAACATTCTACATCTGCACTCATAAATTTTTTATCATTCTCTACTTATACTCACTATCAATCTCTGGTTTTTCTTATATATATGCTTTTTTCTATTTTAGTTTCTAAATTTTTGGGTGCCATTGCACATTGCTTTGAACAGGTGCTCTTATGAAGAAATTAGTATCATTTCCTAACTACATCTGTCAGGTTTTAGGATTGCAATATTCTGATCTTAGCAGTTACTCCATACTTTGAAAATGAACTGTTTTTAGGGCTTAAAATTCCCCACACTCTCACTCAGCAATAATCTTAAGGATTTCAGTAACTTCAATGCCTATTATTTGTTGGGTAATTTGTTTCTGGTGAGATCACAAATTCTTGTAAAGTGGGAGAACTATGCCTTTGATGCCTAGTCTGTGCATTTTTAATTAAACAAGGAAATCTAGAAAAAGCTTCATACTCTTTTCTTTCATCTTTACTGACAGAATACAGCAAGTGATGCTGCACTGTCATAAATACATAGAGATCAACCCCAAACATTGCCATTTCCCTCCCTCCTTCCCAATGGAGGGTTTTTAGAAAACTCACTTTAAAAGCAAACAAAAGAATCCTATGGTTTCAAACAAACTCGTCAAGTCAAGGCAGACAAACAAATACATTCTTACCAGACTGTCCCTCTTTCTATTAACCTCCCCTGTTCTCACTGGGATAGTGTACCGTGGAGACAGAGGGTACAGGTGGAGGCTTTGCAAAAAAGCCACTGGGAGCCGGGCGCGGTGGCTCAAGCCTGTAATCCCAGCACTTTGGGAGGCTGAGGCGGGTGGATCACGAGGTCGAGAGATCGAGACCATCCTGGTCAACATGGTGAAACCCCATCTCTACTAAAAAAAATACAAAAAATTAGCTGAGCATGGTGGCGCGTGCCTGTAATCCCAGCTACTCAGGAGGCTGAGGCAGGAGAATTGCCTGAACCCAGGAGGCGGAGGTTGCGGTGAGCCGAGATCGCGCCATTGCACTCCAGCCTGGGTAACAAGAGCGAAACTCCGTCTCAAAAAAAAAAAAAAAAAAAAAAAAAGCCACTGGGATGGTAATAGGGGAAGGGTGTCTGGGATGGTTACAATTTTATGTTTCAACATGGCTAGGTTGCAATACCCAAATATTTGGTCAAGCATTCTAGATGCTGCCATGAAAGTAATTCTTATTTTAGATTAATTAGATCTTGAATAAAGCAGCAGACCCTTCAGCATGCAGGTGAGCCTCATCTAATCAGTTACAGGCTTTTATAAAACAGACTAACTCCTTCTAAAGAAGAGGGGATTCTGCCAGCAGATCGCCTTCAGACCCAAGCTGCAGCACCAACTCTACCCTGTCTCCAGGCTGCTGTCCTGCCCTGCAGATTTTGACTTTCAAAATCTGCCTCTACAATCAATAAGCCAGTTTCTTAAAATCAATCTATCTATCTATCTACACACATAGTTATATATCTATATAATTATATGATGTAACCTCTCTATATATACACCTATATTTATATCTGCCAATATATATTATATATTTCAATATATATGTTTTATATACATAATAGAGAGACATAAGTATAGACATATAGACTCGTGTACATGACACACCACACACACACACACCTACCTATTAGTTCTATTTGTCTGGGGAGCCCTGATTGATGCAGGACCACTCAGAGACAAGTGGCAGCAGATGTGAGGAGGGAGAGCAGCCCTGGATCACACACCTGCATGCTGCATGCATGTTACCTCACTCCATCCTCTCAGCCCTGCCCCTTTCGGCCCAACTCCCCTTACCAAAAATAAGAATGGATCCCAGGTTGTTGGAGGGAGAGCCAGTAGCAGAGGGCACCTGTTTAGCTGAACATATTTAATACCTGGACATAACTAGATCCCAGGTGATCTTAGAAACCACTTTTGTAAGTTTTAAATGCCTGTGCTGTTCCTGCCAACTGGGAAAAGAGTTTCTCTCTCAGAAGAGTGCCTACTCTTGATTTCTCCACTTCCAGCCATGCTATCTAACCAGCAGGGATCTGCTGATAATGATGGAAGGGTCTGAAGCTGGTTTAGGTTTTGATTTTCAAGAGGTCCTCATTTTATTTTTAAAAAAATCAGGCTTCTATAACTGAAAAATACTTCTGTTGCAACACATTATCAAAAAAGTGTTCTTTTCCAAGAGACCAGACTGAAGGCACGCCATGATGAGCTTGGGACACACTGGCAGAAGGCAGCTTTTTTTTTTTTTTTTAATCTCCCTGCACTGAGCTCAAACACAAGAGGGGACTTACTGGGTTATATCATGTCATAGCTATAGCAGATGGCCAAGGACCAGCCTGTTCCCTACTTCTGAGTAAAGAAAGTTACCATAGAAAGGAGCCCAGCACAACAACTGGGTATCATTCCTGCAGCCTGAGAATAGGCTTAGGTCTCTCAGATGCTCTGATTATGGCAGAAAATGGCCCCCAGATACAAAGAGGGAAACCAAAATTTCAAACAAACTTGTAAAGTGGAGGCACAACAACAAATAAACTCTTTGAAGACTTTGGGATGTTCAAGGCGTGAGGCTACGATGCTCTCTACACACCAGTGGGGTCTCTGTGAACCACTCAGAACCGCCAAAGCCACACAATGTCCATACAATACCATTTCCTTGAGTCTTGAGGTGGTGTCTAGATAATGAAGAACCATCAGCCAAATCAATCTCTTTTCCTTATAATTTACCCAGTCTCAAGTATTCTTTTATAGCAACACATACAGAATAAGGCAGGTCTCTTCATGGGACCTCTCCAGTGATTCCCTGCCTTATAGAAGAGCACAGCTTCAGAGCCTGACCCTGCGCCTTAGAGGCCCAAGTGGATGAGTGTTTAGAAATTTGAGAATGACTCACTGTAACCAAACTCAGAGACTGATGTGTAAAACCAGAAGGGCAATTTGTTCACTTTTAATGGGAGCCCACTGCCTAAAGCCAGACTCAAGTGTCCTCTGGCCAAAACATGCTCTCATTGCAGGGCACAGGGTAAGAAGCCACTTCTCAACAAGAGACCATGCAGCCCCACACAGCAAGACAAACCCCTGCCAAGCTGACTGGATCCCTGAACTCTCCAGTCAGAATCCTCTCTCTAGAGATGTGCGGTAGGAAGCCAGTTACAGTCAGAGGCCTGGTGGCAGGTGCAGGGTCAGAACAGAGGGAGCAAGCTATGTGATTTGGTTGCTAAGGACCTGCCGCAAGGCAGCACAGCTGGTTGGCTTGTTGGGACACCTAGTCAGTGATTGCCCAGGTCAATGTCTGCTGCCGAGAATGGATTCAGTGCTACATCTGACAATTTCTGCTGTGATTGATACATTCTTAAATATGCCAATACATCTAACCAAGCTAGAGTCCAACTTTGCACTCAATCACCCTATCTCCAGAAACCCTTGGTACACTTCTGTTTGGTTCCAACACGCATGGCGTTCATGATTCACTTATCATTCTACATTTTTTGAGCACATACTTATAACAAGCAGCATTCCAAACTCTGGGAACACAACAGGGAACAAAATATTGAAAACAATCCCTTCCCTCATGGAGTTTACATTCTAGTCAATGCAGAGAAACTAAAAAAGTGTTTATGGCAGGTGGAGGTAGGTGCTAGGAAGAAATAAACCAGAGAAAGGGGATTCAGAGGGAAGATGGGTGGCCTTCCCCAGGAGATATCATTGGAGTACAGACCTAAAACAGGCAAGGGAGAAGGCCGGGCACAGTGGCTCACGCCTGTAATCCCAGCACTTTGGGAGGCTGAGGTGGGCAGACCACAAGGTCAAGAGATTGAGACCATCCTGGCCAACATGGTGAAACCCTGTCTCTACCAAAAATACAAAAATTAGTGGGGCATGGCGGCAGGCACCTGTAACTCCAGCGACTATGGAGGCTGAGCAAGAGAATTGCTTGAACTAGGGAGGTGGAGGTTGCAGTGAGCCGAGATCACGCCACTGCACTCCAGCCTGATGACAGAGCGAGCCTCAGAGGGAAAACAACAAAACAAAACCAAACAAAACCAAACCAAACCAAACCAAACCAAACCAAACAAAACAAAACAAAACAAAACAAAACAAAACAAAACACCTGAGGGAGAGGGCCATCTGCAAAACTGGGAGAACATTCCAAACAGAGGGAGGTCCTAAAGCAGCAGAGTGAGAAAGGGAGAGTGGAAGTGGGGTGTGGGTAGCTGACAGAGCCCCAGTGAGCACATCCTAAAGGCTGAGCCATCCTGCTCCAGTTTGTGTTCCAAGCAACCTGGGCAGCCCTGGAGGATGTTACAGACAGGATGATCTCATCCTGCCTTACTGTTTTTTCCTTTGAGAAGGAGTCTCACTCTGTCGCCAGGCTGGAGTGCAGTGGTGCGATCTTGAACTCACTGCAACCTCCGCCTCCCAGGTTCAAATGATTCTCCTGCCTCAGCCTCCCGAGTAGCTGGTACTACAGGCACACACCGCCACGGTGATTTTTGTGATTTTAGTAGAGATGGGGTTTCACCATGTCAGCCAGGGTGGTCTCGATCTCTTAACCTCATGATCCACCCACCTCAGCTTCCCAAAGTGCTGGGATTATAGGTGTGAGCTACCGGGCCTGGCCCCTGCCTTAACTTTTAACTGATCACTGACTGCCACGAAGAGATTGCTTCAGGAGACAAATCTTAGTTATGAGGTCTCAAAGGATGACTCACCAGAGCTCCCCAGTACTCAAAAGGACAGCACAGTGCAGTCAAATGGCAAGGCCTGAGTGAGACTCTCAGGGCTCTCCTTCCTTCGTGGTAGGTGACTTAAAGCTCTCTATTTCTGTTTCTGCATCTATCCGGTGATTAAAAACTTCAATAACAACCCTCAGGGAATTACTGCAAGGATTAGTGAAGATTAACAGATCAAATGCTGTATTATATGAGCCCAATGCAGAGCTGGCCCTCAATTAAATGTTAGTTGTAATTATTATTTTTACTTTAAAGAAAGAGTCCATGCCTAACTTATAACTATTTTCTGCTCATTCACTGTTCTTCACATGTATGAATAAGAGATACTCCCAGGTAGAAAATACTCCCCATTGAAAAATGAGTCTGATCCATTTGAAGAATATACTAACTTGGCATTCTTTCTTCCTTTCACCTGGCTTATATTATATTATATTCCCTTATTTAAACATGGAAACCTATTTAATGTATATTCATCTAATTTCATATGAATTACTGCACGTGAAATTTAAAGGGATCTCCTTCAATATTGGGTATATCTTATTAAGATAATCAGACTCGTCTAGTTAAAATGGACTTTCCTCGAGACAATCTCCTCTAGTCAAAAGCTCCATTTCTCCACAAGTGTATCCATGAAAATCTGCAACTTGCTTAAAGTGGACGTTTTACTTTCACAACTCATTGAAAATACATCACACGTTTTAGAACAGTCAACTTACAGGCCATTATCACAATGACATTCTCTTACCTCCTGCAAAAACTTTTCACTCATTTGGCTGAAAGGATGTCCTGGGGGCTTGATCCCAGACACCATCAATCCGGAACTGAAGACCCTTGGCTTCTGCAGGTCTGGCTTGAATTTCTCATAGAGGTTGGCAGACGGCTTCAGGTCACCACTTGCCGCCTTCTCCTCGTGGGGAAGAGGCGTGGTACACGCGGGCGGGGCATATGGAAGCCCCATGGGAACCAGCGAGGCATCCACCTGGCCCAGGGCCTGGGGATTCCTCCTGATGTAGGTGATGATCTTGGGCCTCACATGCTTGGGCTTGGGCATAATGATGGGCTTGGTTTCTGTCCTCTCCTCTGTTTTTTCAACCTGATGGTTCTCCATTCCCTCCTGCGAGGAAACTGTGTCCTTGGAATGTGTGAAGACAGGCTTGGGGATCCCACTGGGGCAGGTGTTCTTGTCAGGCACTTTGGGGGATGTGTTCAACAAGCGTGCACTGTCAGTAGGGGGTGGGAGCACCAAGGGGGACCCCGCGTCCATACCAAACACGCGAACATCCTGAAAACTGCTACTGGGTGTTGTAGGCTGGTGGGTCATGTTCACAGTTGTCTCTGGGTGGAGGGGTGCTGCAATATTGAGAACTGAATCTGCTCTTGCTGAGGTGCTTTCAGTCTTAGCTGCGTTCTCTGGAAGGTTCCTGTTTTCAGCACCAGACGTGGTGATCTCTTTGCTTTCCCGTGCATCTGAGCTGCCACTTGGAGGATCCAGGGGCTCAGGCACCTCTGTCTTGCTCTCTCCAACAGAAGGACTGAGCGCCAAAACCGTAACACTGTCCTCGTTCCCATTGCCCAGCAGCCTTTCCTCCTCACTGACATCTGAGGGCTTGTTGCCAGTCTGATGAGTAGGAATAAAAGCCACATGACTGTCACCTGGTGAAAAGTTGCTAGATGTCCTTTCACCCAACTTCCCACCTGCACATGGTGAAATTTTGCCAGTGGGCTGATTATCGGCCCCACCTAAGGAAGCAGGGCCCTGTTTGGGGGTGCTGTGGAGAGAATCCGGCTCCCCTGGGTTGAGTCCTCCCTTCTCTTCACAGTTGCCTCTCCCCACCCCAAGGTGGTGGGGGTCACTGTTGGGCAGACGGCCAAGTGCATCGGTGGCTTCTGGGTGTGCTTCCCCACATGGCTCCTTTCCCTCCAAGACTGACAGATTCTCTTTCTTGTGACATCCCAGATACCCTTCCTGGGCTGCCTTTCCCTCCTGTTCAATCCTCCTGGGTGGAACATATTTCAGCTCCAGCTTAGCCTCTCCCTTTTCCTGACCCAGCTGTGCTTCTGGCTTACTTGGGATTTCCTTCGATGCTAAAGTCAAATTCAGGGCAGGCTCTGGATGGGTGGAACGTGATGTGTGCTCGCTGCACACATGCAATACCTGTACCCCCACTGTCTGGGTCTCTGAGGGGGCACTCTGCTTGGTTTCTGAGGTAGATGGTTTAAGATGACGCACACTCTTTCCCTCTGAGGTACTGTCAGTTGGAGGGAAAGCTGCCGGGCGAGCGTGGTCTGGCAATGTCTTCTGCGGCCCCTCCCCACCCCTAGGCACCTGACCCCATCCTTCCAGGGAGTCCAGGGGTGCAGGCTGCGGATGCTGCAGAGTCAGGCTCCCAGCTGCAGCGGCAGAGCTGCTTGCTCTTTCCAAAGAATGCCTCCTCAGTTCCTCATTGTCGAGGGTTTTTGCCAATTTATCCTTGGGAACATGCCGGGGAATGTCAGCATCCCGTTTAGCCAAAACGTCTAGACTGGCCTCACTCATCACATTCCTCCAACTCAACAGACTTGGTCCCTGAATACTCCGCGGGGTCTGCAGGCTATCTGTGCCTCTCTCCATTGTGTTCTCTTCATTGAGCTCCCTCTGAATAGCTGAAGAAAGTCTAAAATCTTTCAGGCTGGTGGAGCCAGTCTGAGATCCCTTCCCAAAGCCCTGAAGTTGGTGACATTCCTTATGGAAATGGGTACGGTTTTCTGGCTCACTGGAATTTGTATTTCCAATTTCATCCTCCAGGCCACATGTCTGAGACTCATCATGAGAGGATCTGACCTCCAACATGATTTGATTGGCATTCGTATCTCCCAGACTTAGGATATTCTCATTATTATTTCCCGCTGCATTTCTGTTGTCCCGCAGCTGAGTGTAACATGATTTCTTAGGAGCCACTGGGACGCTCATTGTCAACCGTTTGGTGGGGCTGCTTGCCATGCAGTCCTGCTTAATGGAAATGGGCTGCCTTCAAGCGGCAATCGGATTAATAGGAAATTCTCAAGCTACTGGTCCTCCCCTGACAACGTCACATTGCGACACTGCTTTGATCATTCTCAGAACAGCTTGAAAACCAAGCATTGTCTTGATATATAGCAGGAAGACTTATCTGCTAGGTTCCTGCTGAATGAGAGCCAATTAGTCCATGAGACCTGGAGAGAAATAAAAATATAGTCACATTAGATTGACAAATAGAACATCTCAGGAGAAAAAAAAAAGTGGTAAATACAGATTTATTCATCACTTCTATGCTATCGTTTCATTCACGCAATAGTTTTCTCAAAAACCTTTCTAACTGGGGCTCCTGCTGGCTAAATATGGACAAAAATTAAATATCATGCATGTGAAATCTTAAATCTAGATTTTAAACATCCACAAGTCTAGATTGATATTGATTGAAAAGGGTATGGAAGAAGTAAAGGCTCTTCTCTACAGAAGAGTATCAACAAATGTAGAAAAAAATTACAGAATTTGAAAAATCACTATTTTGTAATCACTAGATTAATAATTATCTTGCACAAGGGATGCCAAAGGTACAAACATTGGGTAAAAGATTGTTGGGGAGCAAGATATTTACAGATGCTTAAAGTATCTTCTCCCAGGCTACTTTATTTCTTACAAAAAGAAAAATTTATCTTTACAATGGAGAGATCTGGTAGACACATTAACCACATGATCAAATTTAACATCACTAGTAATGAAACTGACATTACAGACTCCTGATATTAGTTTTCAGGGCCACACATCACCTACACAGCAGTATTATAGACTCCTGATATTAGTTCTCAGGGCCACACATCACCTACACAGCAGTTAATGTTCAACCAAAATTTACTCCTGAGAAAATAATCAGACAAATTTAAGTTGAGGTAATGTATTACAAAATAACCGGCCTAACTGGTCCCCAAAAATGTCAGCAGAGCCTGGATTTTCAAAATATGTTAGCAACAAATATTATTAGGACAACTAGAGATTTAAATATGAACTGTATATAAAATATAGGTATTTCATAATTAATTTTTTGGGGTGTGTAACTGTGCTATAATTATGCCAGAGATTATTTTTGTTATTGAAATATACATGCTTTAGAATTCAAGGGTAGTATGTCATGATTTCTGTAATCATTCTCAAATGATTCAACCAAGAAAAACACGTGTCTGTATGTGTGTGTGCATGTGAAAAAGAGAAAGAGTAAAAGAGAGAGAAACTGGCAAAAGTCAACCACTTGAAAATCTAGGTAATAAATTCTATTATATCTGCAACTTTTCTATAGGTTTGAGATTTTCTAAAATAAAAACTTGGGGGAAACACTTTACTCTGGCCTTTGAGGCCTGCATGATCAGGCCCTGAACACCTTTCTGGCCTTGTCCCCACCTCACCTTCTGCTCTGCAGGCTGCAGCCACACTGACCTCATTCCTCACAGCACTGTATTCATTACTCCCTGACTCAGGGCCTTCGCACTTACTCTTCCATCTCAATGGAATGTGGAATCCTCCCCCAACCCCATCTTACAAGTCTTTTGCGTCCTTCAATATGCAGCATAACTAACACTTCCTCCAGGAAGCCTTCCTGACACACTAGGTCATCCTATGAGGATGAATTTGTAATATCCTATATTTCCATCTTGCAGAATTTAAAAAAAGGCTTTCAGATTTGCTAGACATGGAAAATAAATATTGCCTAATACCTGGCATACATATTAGGTACTTAGTATGTATTTGTAGCATGAATGAATGAATAAATGACCAAATAAATGATGAGGAAGATCAGTGTTATTTCTGCCCCCAATGAGTTTAAAATCTATATGGAATATGCTTTTCTGTTAAAGTAGACTCACAGATCAACACTAAACCATTACATTCGAGGTTGACACTGTTTCATCCAGTTCTATGGATTAGACACCGGGAATAGCGGAGTTTAACAGTACCAAGGTTCTGCCCCATCACCAATTCTCCCAAAGGAGACTCAAAGCCCTTCACACTTTCCTCCTCATTCATCAAGAATGTGCAAGCACACATGCACACCACACAGGAGGCTGCTGTTAGGTTTCTCCTGAAACAGGTCACATGGCAACGTGGCCACCCACCTGTTTTCCCTTCATCATTGTTAATATGTTGCTTCATATATTAAAAAGAAAATGAGGACTGGGCACAGTGGCTCACACGTGTAATCCCAACACTTTGGGAGCCTGAGGTGGGAAGATCACTGGAGGCCAGGAGGCCAGGAGTCCAAGGCCAGCCAGCTTTGGCAACATAGCAAGACCTTATCTCTATTTAACAAAATGTATATGTTATAAAGCAAAATAACATAACACCTGACAGCCCATCACCCAACCCAAAAACATCTTGCAGCCACCCTCCTGCTCCTCCTTACTGGAGCCCTGTAGGTTTCCAACTAAACTTTTTACCTAACAACCTACCATGAGCATCCCTGAACACTTAGCTGATAGAGCCCTCTTTTCTTCTCCATCTATACATAAGCAGGTAAACTTTTTTATGTGCATAAGATTATTTCCTATAAGCTGGTTTTTGTTCAGTTTTTAAAAATTTGCCTCTTCTACCCCACACCCCAAGACACATTAACATCTAAATTTTTCCATTTCTTTCCTCATGTTTGTATGATCATGGGAAAACACACGGTCATACATGTGCACGTGCCCTTTCATTTCCCTACCACACTGCTCTTCTGTTCTTTCCACGACTTGCTCACTGTCCTCATTCTCCCCGCTCTCATGCTCTTTTTCTTCTTCTCCGCCTTCTCCTTCCAGACTTACTTTTAGTAAGCCAGCAGCACACCTGGTACAGCCTGACCTCAATATAGCCCTCTACCAAGCTGTTGATACCCTGATTCCAGTCTTCGTGTCCCGCCACAGAGGGGAGTCTCAGCAAACCCTGGTTTGTTTATTCCATTTTAAAAGTGTTTCCCTCGAAGATACACATGTTCTCTAAGAACAACTACAAAAAGCATATAGGCAAATCAATACGACTGTGGTTTAAAAGAATGCTGTGCTCTCTGGGTTGAGAAACAGGTATCCTGAAAAGTCAAGTCAGGCAAGAAAGTTCATAAATATAGGCCATCCACAGAAGAGAAGCGCCTCCAATTCTCCGTGGGCAGAAGTATAAATATGTAGCTAAGAGCCCTGATTGGTTTGAACTGCCAAGGCTGGGAGAAGGAAGGAAACTTTGCTCGGCAGAGACAAAAGCAAAGGATCAAAGTCCACAACTCATAACATGATTATAAGAAAGTGACAAAGAAGTGTAAAACCAATGTCATGCTAGAAAGTTATATTTTAATTTTTAAGGAATAACATCATAAATGTTCTTCATCTTTGTCAGTAAACAATAACTGGTACTCACTGGTAAGGGGACAGAAAGAAAGCTGGAACCTCCCAGGGGCCCAGTATTTTCTCAGCAGTTATACAAATCTGTTTAAAAAAAATTTACATAGGATCTCGTTCTTTTGCCCAGGCTAGAGTGCAGCAGGACATTCATAGCTCACTACAGTGGTGAACTCCTGGGCTCAAGAGATCCTCTTGGGTTAGCCTCCCAAGTAGCTGGGACTACAGGTACACATTTTCACACCTGGCTATTTTTTAAGTTTTTTGTAAAGACAAAGTCTCACTATATTGAACAGACTGGTCTCAAGCTCCTGGCCTCAAGTGATCCTCCCACATTGGCCTTCCAAAGTACCAGGACTATAGGCATGAGCCACAGCACCTGGCCTAAAATTTAATTTTAAATTAAAATTATACAATTACGAGTCTTTAATATTCAATTTTAATTTAAGTTAGACTGCCTAATATTTATAGCAAGCCTCCAGAGACAGGTCTTCACATCCCCTTGCTTTTTTATTTTTCCACCTCCTGGTAAGAAAATGAAAGCATAGAGAAGGTAACATTCCCAAGGTCACACAGCTCATGAGGGGCAGAGCTGGGACAGATGGAAAGTAGATGCTGTCAAGAAGAAAAGCTGCCATGAATGGAATCATAGAACACACAGGAAGAACAAAAGGAAAACATGCTATTGTAAGAACAAGAATAGGAAAAAAAAAAAAAAAAAAAAAAAAAAAAAAAAAAAAAAAAAAAAAAAAAACAGAAACCAACACGTGGAAATTCACACAAGAAGCTAAAGCAGTTGCTAAAGGAGAAGCAATAAAACTTTCTTCAATTATATGAGGCAAAATTATGCACAGGAAGTCAGGTTTCCTGCTTCTCTCCTCCTCATGAGGCTTCGCAGCCACAAAGTAAACATAAACACGCATTTCTTTCTGGATCTAAATTTCAATCCAACACCCTCTACTAAGATAAACGTTTTCACAGAACATATAACATGATTATAAAAGTTCAAACTCATAATACAGGACTGTATGTGATTAAATAAAATATGCAAATAGGTCAACCAACAGTACAAACTCCCAGTTGAGGTACACTTTCCCATGGTGAGGGATGTAACTTTCATATGCTCCAGTTATATTATTATAAAATTAAGAAAAAAAAATTTTTTTAAGAAAAATAAATAAAATTAAGAATGATGGCCTTAGAGGTAAGTGATATTTTATCCTGAAAAAAAGATCCATTAGTTAAGTACTAGGTTTAAAGGGAATGTAAAGATCTAGGCTTATAACCTACTTGATGCTTAATAGTCTTCTAAGTGGCTTCCCCTGGTTCCAGGGCCAGAAAATTCACCACTCTTCTGGCCAGGGCGTCTGGTGGCCAAGTCCTGCCTCCCTAGAGCAGAACGAGGCAATTCTTCCACCAGATGACCTTTCAAGTATTTATAGAGAGCTATATGCTCCCTTCCTCCCAAAACCTATTCCACTCCTTGTCAACAAACTCAGATTGTCCCAACTGTGGGATGACCTTTGGAAAACTCCCACCAACCAAACAGCTTTCCTCTAAGTACACACAGCAGGGAACCTCAAGTCCCTCCTAAAAGGGGTACCCAGAGCTATGCGCAATACTTTAGTTCTAACTGCATCATCTAGAGCAGGCGTCCCCAAACTTTTTACACAGGGGGCCAGTTCACTGTCCCTCAGACCGTTGGAGGGCCGCCACATACTGTGCTCCTCTCACTGACCACCAATGAAAGAGGTGCCCCTTCCTGAAGTGCGGCGGGGGGGCCAGATAAATGGCCTCAGGGGGCCGCATGCGGC